ATCATGTTCAGGACAGAGAACCAAAGTGTTCAGGACAGAAGTCCATTATGTTCAGGACAGATGACCATCATTTTCAGGACAGAGAACCATCGTGTTCAGGACAGAGGGTCTTAGCAGCCGTCTTCGGAATGAGCTGAATATTTTGACATTTAAACTGCTAAAACAGCACAAAGGTGTTTCACAGAAACATAAAATCATGAACATTTTAGACTAAATCAGAATAAAAATAATGTGGTGCTCCCACTGACCCACTGACCCACTGAACCACTAACCATGGATGAAGCATTAGATTTCAAAGCCTCAGCAGTTGGAGCAAAGACGGTGAATGGACCACGACCCTGCAGAGAGATCTCCACGATCTGAAATCAGAGTTATCCTTCAGTGATGTGATGCCGGCTGCAGGGGGCGCCAGAGGAAACGGTTGAACACTTACCATCAGACCGTAGTAAAAGCTGGTCAGCCCCTTCAACCTCATCTCCTGACAGAAGTTAGAAGATAAATTAGTTAGATGTCGAAACAAACAGCTTGGTTTATGTTCATTTTACAGATTAYCACCTTGTCCACGGTGCCTTTGCACTTCAAACCATCTCCTATGTAATTATTGGCGCAGGTGCAGGATCGACTTCCTGGTTTCGTCATATTGCAAACAGCATATCTGTGGCAGCCGCCATTTTTCTGGAGACAGTAAGTTAATCATGTGGATTGACCGAGCTGAAGAACATCTTAGTTAGGATTAGTTTGGGTTATCAGAGCCTGACAGATGACTAAACTGGTTCTGTTGAAGAGCAGTTGGGAGACACTATCACCCCCCGACAACAACAACAAACTTCTAGGATCTGTAGAACCCTGAAAGACCTTCACCACAGAAAGGTTGGTCTTAAACAGATTAATCAAATGCTGTTAGTATTTAGTTTCTGATCAGCCACAACATCAGTCTCAGATGGAACAGAGGAAATGGTTCTTCAGGTTCTGCAGGATCTCACCGTTTTGCACAAGTTGATGACGGAACAGTTCTGTCCATCTCCAGAGAAACCTTTTCTACAGGTACAGGAGGTCTGGAAATGTGAAGACATCCACTTCAAACCATATGTTCACATCATCAGCAAACATCTGCACTGATACAAACATCTTACTTTGTTCGGCCCAACATGAAGACAGTCTGCATCAGCATGGCAACCTCCGTTTCCCTCCAGACATGGATTGATCTCTGTGGAAACAAACAGGTTTATCTAGTGTTATGCTTCATATTATCAGTAAAAAGCTCTGAAGTATTTACTTGATTGCAAAAGTACTTTTAAACATTCAGATTACAGTCACATCTAATTTAGCACCAACCACCCTGTCCCTGTTCTGTCAAAACTATCTGCATGGTTTTATATGATTAGATCAGAAAAGGATCTTTGTTTTTCTTGTTCCAGATGATTGTAAATTTGCTGATGCCTTATGATGATCTACCAAAAAACTGGTACATCCAAGACTTCTACAACCTCAGTACACCTAGACCTTCAAAGAGGGTTAGGTCAGGGTTAGCCTGGTCCTTGCTTTCCTAAACAGTTCTGCTCAGTTCTAGTTTCCCTCCTCTGCTTCATCTCCCATAGACAAGGTTCTCTYAGGTAGAATTTCATTGGGCCAATCAGCGAACAGAAGGAGGAGTTGTGAATGAYGACATTGATTTCCTGCAGCGTTTTAGTCTGCCAATCTTGCAACGGCAGCAGAGGAAGTGAATGAAGCCAGTCCATGTTGACAAGATTAAAGTAAATTTGCCTCACAAATCTGCAGCATCATTTACAACCATCTCGTTTGGCTCAGTACTGCTCTCCTCCCAGCAGGGGATGGTTGTTTACAGCGTATGCAATTTCCTGTTAGCTTCTTAGCAAAACACTGCCAAACGTTAGCTTTTGGGTAAATCAGATCCAATCATTTTAAACTTCAACAGAGGCCACACCTCCAGMAAGAAATCACGTCTCAATAGCCAAGAGTCCAGACCCTGTGTACGAAGCAAAGCGTAGGACAGGGGGCTGGTTTTACCAGGCTAGGTTAGGGTTAACGCTAACCAAGAGGGGTACACCCTGGACAGGTCGCCAGTCCACTCCAGTCCTCAATTTATTCTTTCTCATAAACCAGCAGAGCCCAATACTGGTCCTAGAAGACCACCATCCTGCAAGGAAGGATGTTCTTAGAGGTAAGGTTTTCTGTTGCAAACTCGCTAAAGCTAAAAATGTTAGAGTGTTCTGTATTATTTATATTTATATTAATTTGCTTGTCTCCAAGAAAATAAACAATAAAGAAGAAGTAGAYAGAAGACTGCTCTAGAAGCTCTATCAAAACCAAGGCAAACATGTTTTTTTGAAGAAGCGCAACAGCTGAACGTACCAACACACACCAGTCCATCTCCAACAAAGCCCTTCTTACAGACGCAGTCCCTGAGACCAGGTCGAGTCCGTTTACAGACCGCCTCCAGACTGCAGCCGCCGTTATTTACCAGACATGGGTCCACAGCTGCAAACATCATCATATTCATCAGTAGCATCARTGGATCAATGAGCTCTAAGTCAGCTTTATTTATATATCTCATTTAAAACAACCACAGTTAGCCAAAGTGACATATTACAGCTAACAGAAGACAAAAAAGGACACAAAGCTTAGCCCAGTGGCTAACACTGTTAGCAGATTGACCTGAAGCTGGTTTACCTTTACAGAAGGTTCCATTTCCCTCAAAGCCAGCAGCGCAGAGACACTGGGGTCCAGACGGCTGAATCACGCAGCTGGAAGGAGTCAACAGAACAGGAAGTGTTAGCTGAGGAGAAACCTRAGGCACTTAGGAGGTTTTCAGGACTTACTTTGCGCTGCTGTGACACCTGACTGACCCACACAGATCATCAAGCCTGGATTCAACCTCTGCAGAGACAGGAAACAGCTGCGAGTCACAGAAACCAGTCAGGCCCTTTGACACCACTTTCTCAACATTCCTTCAACACTTCCAGTAATCTAAGCTGTGACTGGGCCATGCTCTTATTTTCTACAGAATCTTTGACCTTTATTTTGAAACTCCAAGTTCAAACCTCTTCCTGTTTCCTGTGGCCCCTCTGACTGAATCCCTGTCTTTCTAGAAACCTGTGACCCATTTCAACTCTGTTGGTCCTGCTGAGCTATGGGTCCAAACAGGACTGGGTCTAAGACTCTGCTCGTCTATGGGGTCAGTTTTTCTTCTGTGTTGATCTTATCCTGGCCCTACCTCTGAGCTGCAGGGGTGGTCCCAGAGTTAGGACCAGCTGGACTCAGGATTTCAGCAGGACACCACTAAGTATCCTCTCTGTCTCTGTGTGTCTCTGTCCTCCAGCTAAACTCCTTTTTGACAATAAACTCAGTTTTAGTTGGCCTCGTTTCTTCTAAGCAGATTGTTCCTGAAGTTCTGCACAGTTCTGATGGACTTTATTACTGGACCAGGTTCTGCTCTTTGTTGGACCAGGTTCTGCTCTTTGTTGGACCAGGTTCTGCTCTTTGTTGGACCAGGTTCTGCTCTTTGTTGGACCAGGTTCTGCTCTTACTTTCGTCACAGTGGATGCCTCTCCAGTCCACGTCACACTCGCAGGTTCCGTCTCCGTCTTGACCTTCGCTGCAGCGTCCCTTCTGACAGCGACACTCTGCAGAGGACACAGAGGACTCTCAGGACACAGATGACAGAGGACACAGAGGACTCTCAGGACACAGATGACAGAGGACACAGAGGACACAGAGGACACTCAGGACACAGATGACAGAGGACACAGAGGACTCTCAGGACACAGATGACAGAGGACACAGAGGACACAGAGGACTCTCAGGACACAGATGACAGAGGACACAGAGGACTCTCAGGACACAGATGACAGAGGACACAGAGGACACAGAGGACACAGAGGACACACAGAGGACACAGAGGACACACAGAGGACACAGAGGACACAGAGGACACAGAGGACACGCAGGACACAGAGGACACGCAGGACACAGAGGACACACAGGACACAGAGGACACAGAGGACACAGAGGACACAGAGGACACACAGAGGACACAGAGGACACAGAGGACACAGATGACACGCAGGACACAGAGGACACGCAGGACACAGAGGACACGCAGGACACAGAGGACACA